TTCTCCATCCCAAAATTGTTCCTTCCAAAGTCTTTTCCAAGAAATTAAACAGCACTATCACTTACCCTTTTCCTCAAGCCAAAAACTGAGAAGTCATCCCAAATCAGCTTGTCTCATTTTCACCCTGCCCTCATCAGCAAGTTCAATTGGCTGCACCTACAAATACGAGTGCAGTCCTTTCCACTTCTACTGCCTCATCCTGGTCCAGCCACTGCCCCCTTCTCCCCTGGACTACTGCAGCTTTCTCCTGATTGGTCTCTGTGTTCCACCCTTGCTTCCCTTTATTCCATTCTCCACATTGCAACCAGCGTGATTTCTTAAAAATAGAAATCAGATTATGAGTTATGTCATCTCCCTGCTCACAACCTTCCATTATATTGAAAATAAAGCCTAACCTCCTTACTGTGGCCTGCCAGGCCCTACATAATCTAGCCCCTGCCTATTGCACTGCTCTCTCTTCATACCACGTTCCCTAGTCTAGTTCACTAAGTTCAAGCCACACTGGCCTTCTTCCTGGTCTTCATTCCCACCTCGGGACTTTTACACTGCAAGTTCCCGCTGCCAGAAATGCTCTTCCTCAGTCCACATACCACATCCTCCAGAAAGCCTTCCCTGGCTACCCTAACTCAAGCTGTGGCTCTGCTCCTCTCTAAGTTGATTTCCTTCATTGCACTTATTTCTGTTTGAAATTTATTCATTTGCTTACTTGATTCTTATGGACACGCTCATTAAAATGGACATTCCAAGACATCAGATCCAAGACATTCTTCATTCATTTGTTCCCTCATTCATTCAAAAAATATTTATTTAAAAATGTACAAAATATTGTTGGCTCTGGGGACACAGCATGAACAATATTTCAGCTGCAAGCCACTGCCTTGCACCTTCAAGTTGCTTAATAAATATCAGTTGACTAAATAAATGAATGAATAAACCAAAGGGTAGGAAAAATGTTGGATCAGAAAGAAGCATATAGGTCATATATGCATTGCTAATGGTAAAAATGAACTTTAATAATTAACAAAATGCTAATTTAGACTGGCTGAGACATCTAGATCAAACAGCATTGGTCCCAGAAAAAATGAGCTAGGAAAAGTTCCCTCATTGGGACTTATGAAATTATACAAGAATCATTAAAATGTAGAACATGACTGAGTAACCAGCATAAAAATACCATGTACATTTCTTCTATTAGCAGGGTGACTACTCAGTAACTTATCAGGCATAATTTACTAAGTTCTTATACTTTCCTTGACAAATGAAAGGAAACTGAATTTGCAATTAATCACACTTGCACTGCTGATTTATAAGAATAATTTTATGTCTAGGATTTAATGAATCTTTCAAGAATTTTCAAAAACTGCTACAAGTTGAAGTCAATTTTAGACAGCAAAGAGATGGTGTTTGCATGAGTTGCACTGAAGTACCTGTTGAAGTGCAGTACCTGGTTCCAGTCAGAAACTCGAATGTTGTCTTCCTATTTTCAGATACCAGAATATTTTTCACATAACATAGTATCACTTCTGTGTGAAGTCATGTATACCTTCTTCTTTCCATCACAAAGATTAATCAAGATATAAACCAGGGGCAGGCTCTGTGGCTGAGTGTTTGGGTTCATGCACTCTGCTTCAGTGGCCTGGGGTTTCTCAGGTTCAGATCCTGGGTGCAGACATGGCACCATTTGTCAGGCCATATTGAGGTGGCATCCCACAGAGCACAACCAGAGGCACTCACAACTAGAATATACAACTATGTACTAGGGGGCTAGGAAGAAGAAGAAGAAAAAGATTGGCAACAGTTGTTACCTCAGGCACCAATCTAAAAAAAAAAAGAAGAAAGAAAGAAAGAAAGGAAAAGATATAAACCAAATCCAGGTACAGCAAAATCTCAATAATTCAGGCTCATCATGGAGAAAGCCAGCGGACGCTATGCAAGGCCTGAATTCTAGAGCACTAGGAAATGGCATGTGGTTTTTTAAAATGTACATTCAATAATGTAAAGTAAGTTAACCAAGCACTGACTTTTGCTAGCACTTGGGGTGAGGAATCTAAATTAATGACAGATTAAAATGCCTTACAATAGTATATTGCATATTGATTTGTCCTAATAGGGAGGATAAACATTTTTCTCTACAAGATTACTTACATATTATTTTCCAAATTCACTTTTTCAGAGCACTTAGGCAAAATTCAGTCCAAGTCTAGTCAATCTATATGCAAATGTTGGATTTGTGGATCTGAATTGATATTTTATTGTAAAACTAAAAAGCATTCTTACACCCACTGTTGCATAGTTACCCTGACATTCTCCAAGTCTTTCTGTGTTTAGGTGTCAAGATATTAATTGCTTTTTGCAAGGTGCTATGACTCATGTTTAATCACTTTTCTTTAATGACTCAAGCAGGGAGCTCCATGACATTTGTGAATGGCAAAATGAGATAAAAGAAGCTGGGTGAATTCTCTCTTCAACATCCTGCACAATATAATTTCACAAGCGAGAAATGTGCTAAGGCTTCTGCCCAAGTCAGCTATTATTCATTTACTTCATAGTGAGGAAGGCCTTAATGTCTCTGAGATGAAAAAAGTTATGTTGATGTTATACTTACACAAAAATAGATGAATAGACAAATGGAGCAGAAAAGTCCAGAAAACCATATATATATTCAACAGACTTATGTCAAAAAGGGAAAGATGATCTTTCTAATAAACGGTGCTGATCAATGGATATCCAAATGGGAAAAGAACATATCTTAACTCCCTACCTCACTTCAGGTATAACTATCAATTCCAGAAGGAGTACAGATCTAACCTTGAAAAGTAAAACAATAAAGCTTCTAGAAGAAAACATAGAGCATTTTCATGACCTTTGAGTCTGTAAAGATTTCTTTTTTAATTTTTTTGCTAGAGTTTTTTTTTCTGGGAAAGATTATCCCTGAGCTAACATCTATTGCCAATCTTCCTCTTTTTTTTTCTCCCCAAAGCCCCAGTACATAGGTGTATATTGTAGTTGTAAGTTCTTCTTTCTGAGCCACCACCACAGCATGGCTACTGACAGATGAGTGGTGTGATTCTGCACCCGGGAACTGAACCCAGGCCACCAAAGTGGAGCACGCCAAACTTTAACCACTAGGCCCTCAGGGCTTGCTCTGCAAAGATTTCTTAAACAGGACTCAAATTGCCAATCATAATGAATAAAATGATACATTTCTATATTAAAATAAAGAACTTCCATTGATCAAAAAGACACCATTAAGAGAGTAAAAAATGCAGCTCACAGAATGGAAAATAGTATTGTAATGTATATCTGAGTAATAACTCATATCCAAAAGATATAGAGAATTTCTACAAATTAATAAGAAAAAGACAAACAACCTAATAGAAAACTGGCAAAAATGTGAACAGGCACTTCACAAAATAAGATATTCAAATGACCAATAAACATACAAAAATGTAGTAAGTCTCATTAGTCATCAGGAAAATGCAAATTAAATGCACAATGAGCTACCACTACACACCCAGCATAATGGCTAAAATGAGAGACAGATGAAGCCAACTGTTGAGCAGGATGTACAGCAACAGGAACGCCCATATATACTGCTGATGGGAGTGCAAATCAGTAGAACTATGTTAGAAAACTTTTTGGCTGCATCTACTAAAGCAGAGCATAAGCATATCCCATGATTCAGCAGTTTTACTCCCAGGTATACCCGTAACAGAAATGCACACATATATTTACCAAAAGACACATACAAGAATGTTCATAGCCCCAAACCAGAAGCTACCCAAATGTCTATCAATGGCAGAATGGATAAATAAATTGTGCTATATTCACATCAGTGCAAAGAGGATGAGAAAACTACAACCACACCCAACAACACAGATGTTTTTTTCACATCACATTGAGTGATAGTAGATAGACAAAAAAGAGTATATATTGCAGGAATGTATTTACATAGAGCTAAAAACAGACAAAACTAATATGCGCCCTTACAAGTTAGGATAATCATTTTTCTTTGCAAGGTTTTAACTAGAAGGGGGCATGAGGTAGGCTTCTGGTTTTGATCTGGGAGCTGATTACTTGGATGTGTTCAATTTGTGAAAAATCATCAAGCCGGACACTTAGTATTTGTGCATAAAACTGAACACTTACAATTTATGCATAGAATAAAATCTCATTGCAAGATAGCTTACGATTTTTCTGTTTATTTTTAATTATATTTCGAGAGGCAGATTTTACATGATAGCTTCAAACCAACCATTGTGCGTTAACCAAAGTTCACACAAGCCATTTGAAAAAAGATCTAAAAATGTGCTTAGTTATTGGTATTATATAACATTGATCAAGCACCAAGAGTGTGCTGAGAGCTGGACAGACAAACATAGGAAAGACAAGTCCCTGCCTTCACGGATCCCCGTTCCTTTAGAGTGTCGCACATACAACTTCACTTTACATTTCAAACCCTTTTATTCATAAGGCATAAATAAGGAAGTTTGTTGCATTTCTCATTGTTACTTCATTAAATAACTAATACCCTTTTCCCCAATTATACCAATAATTACTAATATCTTTGCCTTAAATACAAATTTCTGTAATACAATATACAGTATATGCTGATTTGGTATTCACACAATTGACCACAATATTCTTGCAAGTTGGTTATAATATGAATTATGTTGAATTTCAACATTCACAAATTTTTAGACCACTTAACAGAATCATTTACTGTTGGCAGAGCTTTTTTTGTTAAAAAGAAAAAAGAGAGAGATGCCGTTGCTCTTATATTGATAAACTGTAAACAAAAACAGCACCGCCTTGATTCCAATAAAAGTATCAGAACTTATGGCACAGAGGCCGGCCCCATGGCTGAGTGGTTGAGTTGGCACGCTCCGCTTCGGTGGCCCAGGGTTTCACTGGTTCGGATCCTGGGCACAGACATGGCACTGCTCATCAGGCCATGTTGAGGCAGCGTCCCACATGCCACAACTAGATGGACCCACAACTAAAATATATACAACTATGTACTGGGGGAATTTGGGGAGAAAAAGCAAAAAAAAAAAAAAGATTGGCAACAGTTGTTAGCTCAGGTGAAAATCTTAAAAAAAAAGAAAAGAACTTATGGCACAGTCAGAACAGTGAATTTTAGCACATCTATTAAACTAGCCTTGCAGATATCAATCACATAGCTGCATGCCCTAAAATACTAACAATTTATGATCAGCTATTAATGGGTGATATAAGTATGATTTGCTTTACTGTATTTGCAGTTTAAAGAAGGGAGTACTGGTGTAAAATATCTGAAAACTGTGAGCTGGGAAATTATTTTGCTTTTCTGCAAGGCTGTGTTCAAAGCAAATTCAGACTAGAAAAGAGGATGAAATGATTCTGCATTTAATCATTGGCTAAGGATATCTGATTTCAAAATAATCCCTTAAATAACAACATCTGAGTATTCATTTTTTAAATGCAAGAGAAATGAAGTGAATTTTGATAGTGTAGTGATTTTAGGCTCAGGCACAGGAAATTATACTCTATGTGAAAATGCCAGAGAGTGTGGTATGAGATGGCACCCAGTACAGAAGATAGGCCAGTCCCTATGTCACCTGCAGGGAGCTCATAGCAGCAGGAGATGAGAGGTAAATTTTAGAGGGATGAGTAGATGTCTCCTTCCAAGTCAGACTCTGGTCTTGCCCCATTCTGCAAACAGAGGGATGGAGGAGCCAGCGTGAGGATGGGGTCCAGGGAAAGAAGGCTTTAATAAGCTTGTAGTCAATGGAAAGAAAGGACCCAACTGTGAACTTCACCTTCTCTAGATCCCAAGACCCCAAGCATCCATCAGCTTCAAGCTGTGGCACAGGTCCATAACTTGACAGCAGACTGGAAACTATCAGGCTGAGGATGACCCCTTTCCAGAGGAAACCACTTGCCTTTGAGCCATCACTGTCTGGTTCCCAGGAGTATTACCAGGTCTGGATGTTTCCATTACGTGGCAATGATGTTGAGTGGAATTTTAAAGCTATACTGGACTTAGAGCAAGACTAAATTTCTCTGACTACCTCCAGAGATATGCAAGGTAGAAGAAAATTCTACAGAGTCCCTTCCTTCCACGTGTGGGATGGGGCTTATAGTCACACTCTCCTTAGGTAGCTAGGCACATGGACCAAACAAGGCCCATTAGGAATAGATTCATCCAAGGGCAGTGGCAATAGTGGTTTGGTACATCCCCCATCATCCTCCCTGGCAAATGGAGGAGCCCGGTTGGGATTTGACAAGATTTTTCTTATCCTGGGTAATAGCATCTCCACTTCTCTGCAAATCATGGAGCAAAAGATTGGGAACTACCTATCTCTGATGCTCTCGTAGCTTAATCTGTGATAAAGGGGAGAATAGTAGGACTAGGTTGTGTTACAGAGCCATACTGGTTGGGAGGAGAGTTGGCATGGCAAGAGTAAGGTAATCTAGTATTCCCTTTGGGGTGAAAGAAACAACCTTATTGAACGTGCCCAAGTGAAAACAGAGCACCAAAAGACTAAAATTCTGACAATGGACAGTAATATATATATATATGTATAATTTTCAATTATAAATCCTCAGTTTTCCATACTAAGGCTTAAGTTTCAGTCACCTAGTCAAAAATCCATACATGAACATGAGAATAGAAACAGATAACATGAAGACCTCCAGAAATAAAGGCTCACTACAGATGGAAGCATCCATCCTTTATTTGTTCACAGCATGAAATGTTCTGACTACCCCTTATGATGAACAATAGAGTTATACACAGCAAGCTAAGCACTATTTGGAAGTTTTTAGGATGGATGCTGGACTCCTATTGCTTTAAAATCTGAGGAGTTTCCTAAACCTCTCTTTCAGGAATTTATTATATCATCCAGAGTGATTATTTTTACTACCAAGATCTATTTATATCCCACCTTGTTCTCAGAAGAATTAATTAAGGTAGCTAGTTTCTGTCAATCATTTTTCTCTAACTTGTAACAAGGCATTAGAATCAAATGCTGAAAATGACTCTGTCCAATTGTGTCAAAGCACCATTCAACAGGTGGAAACTGAGATCAAATTCTAATGAAATTACAACGGCTTCCTGTACACTGGAGAAATCTCACTCTCAGGTTATTTAACAGAGAAGACAAGAGACCAAAATCAGGTATTTAGACAGACATATAGATAGATAAACGGTTAAATAGATAATATTTTTTGCACTGCTGACAAGTATTCAAAACTCTGGAGTAGATGTTGGAGTAGCTGAGAACACCTCAGTGCCTGTATCGTATTATTGACACACTTTCAAAATCTTTTTAAAGCCATTGGAAATGGCTGATATTAGTGATGCACAGAAACCATGGTCTACATTTAGAGTGTCAAAGTTTACCCATTGTCTCTGCTCTTCAAGGCACAAGGACAAGTTCCAAATTCTTCAACTCATCTGAGAGAAGCAGAGCATCTGGTACCACCAGGAGACAGAAGCTCAAGGAGGGAAGCCACACACCAAAGCAAGAATGGGAGATCCTTCGGGGCGGCTGCGATTTTCAAACATTGACCTTACATTATTAGCAAGCAGCTCTCCCGTCTTGGGGTGGGGACAGGAAAGTCTCCTGGCCCGAAGACCTTGGCCTATTCAGCAGGGAGAGCGCACTTTACACCATGTCTGCTTTGGGAGTTCAGCTCCTTCCTACCCTGGGCACAAGGAAGAAGGTGCAGAATGCGCCCATGAAGATCTGCAGTGAAGATCAGAACGATGACAGAAGGGCAAGAACGGAAAGTCGGTAGCCCTTGACAAGAGCCAGAGGAGTAAGCTCCTTTATGGACAGACACCCTGTCCCTTCACCTGCAATGGTCTAGGAACATTAAGGAAGATAGAATCTCTCCTTTCGTCCTTCTCATTTTGCCACCTCCCTTAGCTTCCTCCAAAAGAGGCACGTATTAAATATCTTCTGTATAACATATTCCTTGCATGAAACCTCATCAAAATGGAAGGAATCCAGTCAATCTTCCTGGAGTTTTTTGTTTGTTTTTCTCTTGGAGTTCAATTAGTATCTACTGGTAGTCCATTACAATTCTTTTGGTAAGAAAAGATATTGCACTTGTAAAAATGTATCCGAATGTAATTAAGTCAAAGCTAATAGGTAGGTAGATTTCTCCCTAGAATGCAGACTTTCTGAACACCATCTTCAGCATTTGCAGAAAAGCCTCCATGATTTCATCTCTATTTCAGCAAACTGTTGCCACATTGCGGCATAATTTTAAACTACGGAGGGAGACATTACTAGTCATAAGCTGTACACAACGTTGCATCCAGAGGCTCATGATTTCATTGTGCAAATGGGCACAACGATGACAAGGATGACTGTGCACGCGGCAGCAGCAATCACAGCGGCTATCTTGCAGATCTTGGCTCGTCTGAACTCGGCTTCTTTACGTTTTAGTAATGAGTCGTAGCCTGGAGTATAAATATCTTCCATCCAATATTCTAAGTTGTTTGGGTTTAAAGATTCTTGTGTCTAAAAGTGAAGAGAAGATGTCAGAAATATGGTGAACACTTGCAACAAGGTCCAAGACATTCTGACAATCGTCGCTCCTGCAGCACCTAAGAATTGTGTGCAGCTGGCAGTTAGAGGTGACCGAGGCATCCACCACGGCCCACCAGCCCCGCCTGAGACAGGCTGCCAGTGACTCAGGCTCCCATCCATCACAGACTGCACCTGCCCCTCCCTTACTGCAAATGTCATGATGTTTTTGACACAGGGAACTCCATGGCTCCTCTATTCACGAGCAAGCAAAATAGGGTGGAGACAAACAGGACTTTAAACTTTAAGGATATACAACCAAGAATAGGCTGCCCCCGCCAGAGGAAGTCTGAAAAATATTCTCCACTAACAGTCCTGAAGAACAGAGCTGTTTGAAGCAAGACTATTGTATCGCTCTGATTCAGTTCTCAGTTCCTTGGAAAAGCTTCTACTGAAAAATCAAAGGCAACTCTCGGATAAGCAGTTCAAACAAAACATAAAATATTTCAATTTCAAACATTTGTCTGAGCAAGTCAGGCCACTGCTCAAAGTCAAGGCCTACAGACCGGTGACAGACCATCCCCATGCCAGGTGCAGCATCCCCAGTGGGAGAGTCCCCACTGACATTTGTCTCCCAGTCTCCCTGAGATTAATCAATTGTCTGCAGGAGAAATACCATATTTAACCTGTATTGCTCATAAGTCCCATTCCCCGTTAATAGTTACAGTCATTTCCATAAAGAAAGGCAGTGTTCTCATTTTACGGCAAGCATTTAATAATGTAAGTGTCACATAAAAGCAACAACACATTGCCATTCCAAGTGAGGTCACCTAAATCTTTGAAACACAAACAAAATATCCATTTTGAAGATTTTCTCAGATTGTTTAAGGCTCATAAACATGGGCACATTAAAAATCACACATACACACACACACACAGGATTACAAAACAAACCCTCCACAAACTTAACAAAACTCAGTTGTACCACGTTATTGGTGGAATATTGATGATTCTAACCCATGCTGGTCATCCTGCACCTGTCCTTGCAGACCTGTTCTCTGCTTTTATCCACCTTGTTCTGTTGCCCCGGGAGACTGGCCCATGTAAACGCAGCAGGGGGCTCCCAGGTGGGTTCAGTCAGTGGGATGGGGTGCTTACTCTCCCGGTTCCTCCCTGCTGGGCTGCAGTTGGGCAGAGGCTCAGTTTCTGTCAAGCACCCGCTCCCAGTCCGGGGGGGTCTTAGTGGGTTTCAGAAACAGCTCCTTTCCCTTGGCCTTAAGATCCAAGGGTGCAGCAGCCTCTCCCTGTTCCAGGCTCTAGATGTTGCCTGCACCAATGTAATACTCTCCCATTACCCCTCTGAGTGTGCTGTCTGCTTCTGCTGGGGCGCTCGCTGACTACCCAAGGGCCATGAACTCCTCTGGCTGCTTTATTGCTCTCCTGTTGCTAATAGTCTTCTAGAACAGGGGTCTGCAGAATGCGGCCTATGGGCCAATTCCAGCCCAATACACGTCTTTGTACAGCCTAAGAATGGTTTCTACATTTTTAAATGGTTGAAAGAAAATCAAAGAAGAACAATAGTTCGTAATATGTGAAAATTATATGAAATTCAAATCTCAGTGTCCCAAAATAACATTTTATCGGAACACAGCCACACTCAGTCATTTACAAATTGTCTATGGCTGCTTTTCCTCAACAACAACAGAGCTGAGCAGTTGTGACAGAGGCTGTAAGGCCTGCAAGGCCTAAAGTAGTTACTATCTGACCCTTTACAGAAAGAGTTTGCCAATTCCTGTTCTAGTATATTCTATACAACATTGCATAATGAAAAGAGCATGGGACTTAGAAACCAGGGAAATTCTCCCAGGTCCCCTTCCTCTCTGAAGCACAATGCTTAAAGGCTATTGTCAAATTTTTCATGTTATCTTGAGGGGCAGAAGGCAGTGCTGGCCATGTAGGATGCCCATCAAGAGAAACAGGACACTCTCAATAATGGAAAATTCTTTGGAAATGCAGGGTACTCTGTTCAACCCTACAAACTTTGCAAGAAACTCCTACTACAGCATCCTCAGCTGAGTCCCAGAAGCCACAGTCTCCTTAAGCTGCCCAGGGCAGTTCTGCTACTGCCCAGCCCTTATGTGTCCTTATGCATGAACTGTAACTCCCTCTCCCTCAAAACTCTGCCCTCCATGGGCACTTGGGATCAGTCTGCTCCTCTAGGTATGAAAGTCCCTCAGCAATTTAATGGGCACTCTAGAAGGGAGAGATGGATCCAAGATGGGCATATTTTCTTGGGAGACTGGTCTGCAGGGGTGGGTTGGGTTCAGGCAGAAGGCTGAAGTACCAGCCCTCCCCACCCTGGCACCTTGAAGACAGGCTCTGGCCGTGGAGGTTGAAACAACCACCTATTCTTCCCAATCTTCCCAAGTCTGGCCCAGGAGGTAAACAGTGTGTAAATGACACGTCAGCTTTTGTTGTGTTCCCTCCAGCTCAGACAGAAGGAAACTGGCTTCCTTTCATAATTATATACACTTTATGGGCTGGGATTCAGCCTGTGAAATAAACTATTTTTAATTAGTTTTTTCAATAACTGTAAGCTCTAATGATACCAAGTAGCAGAGAGGAAATAGCAAGGTTTCAAGGGACACAGGCAAGTGTACTCAACTGTCAATTAGGCCTGCCCAACACTGGAAATGAAAATAGGGCTTGCACCTCTGCCTATACCCTCAAGTGGCCACCAGTGATGGCAAATCTACATCTTGACAGCAAGGGACCCCAAGAAGATTGCCCAGATGCTGAAGGTACCCTAAGACAGTACCTAAGTTTCTGCAAAATGATGAAAACTAACAAGGTAGTGCCTCTGCCTTTATCGAGCTCTGGATGCCCAGGCCACTTTGCTGCAATTACCCTCACAAGGTTATTGAACTCTCTGCTCCTTCATATTTTGTGCAACTGGATAAACTATCCTTTGTATTTTTAAGTGATGTCACATAAAGCTAACTCAAGGATCTGCTTTTATTTTTTATAATTTTGTCTTTATGCTTATAAACATTGGCACATTAAAACTGCATGTATCTATAGGGACAAAATCTCCCAGCTCCCTCCTCTCAAACTTCAAAAAGATGTTTCTCAATCTATGACTCATTCAATTTATCTGACCCTTTCAAGTTCATCTGATGATACTGGTTAAATATTGATTATCCCACTAGTTGAGCAGTTCACACTTTCAGGTCCTTCCTGGCTCATCTGCTGCTCATGGTATCCTAATACCCATAGATCATCCTGTGACACCCATGGCACAGCTGCACAGGGACCCACTTGCAGAAGAATCAAATCTTCGTCTAGCCTGCTTGACAGCAGGACAATGACAGAAGAGGAAGTGGCCTGAAGGGACAGGCGGCATGCAGCACACACAGGGACATAACATGCAGGGGATAAAAGGGGCAAGGAATATCTCAGGGACAGTCCTGCTGCCACCACAAACCTCGCTCTCAGGATCTGGCTAGAGCTGCCCCTTCCAATAATTGCTGTCATTTAGAGTCCAATATAAACAAACGTCACTGCCATCACGTTTGTGACATGAAGCTCCATTACACTCATCGACAGAAAAATGAAATGGTGGAGAGGTAACAGAAGAGAAAGAACACAAGACTTGTTGCCAGGTAGTCCAGGATGAATTTAGACCTGTTTGGCCTGGGGCTAGTTACCGAGCTTCTCAGGACCACAGTTTCCTCATTTTTAAACTGGAGACGGCCATAGCAACTCCTGCCTCACAGGCCACCGCGTCTTGCCCTGAGAGCCTGCTGTGAAAAGCACCGTGAGAACTGATTGATTTCAGTGTCACTTCACCAGCCCTGACTGCCTTTTCAGTGCCTACTTAATGCCAAGTACTTTAAATACATTATTTTCATTTCTCACAATGACTCCACAACTTAGATATTATTATGCGCATTTAACAGGTGAGGGAGCCGAAGCTCAAGCAGGTGAAGTAATGTTCCAGGTCACACAGCAAACGAGCCAGCCCTGGATTAGAACCCAGCACTGCTGGAAGCCAAAGTTCTCTTTTCTCCAACATGCTGCACCTCCCCATAGCCCTCTCTGCTTTAGAGGGAGGCCATTTCTGGGGGGCATTGCCATACCAACCCCCACTGGCATCTCTCCAACTGCCCTTTAAGTGGCATGGTCATTCTGGGACCTGTTCATGACTGGGACTGTTGGGACTACGACCTCACTGCCTACAAACCTAAGCCTACAGGTGGAGACAGGGTCTTTCCTGTGCTGCTGCAGTGATGTGGAGACAGATAGACATGGTGTGAATGGAACCGGGTGAAGGTGCCCATCAAAATAAAAGTGTGACCAGAACCCAGTCCTGCCTGTGGGTGAACAGAAACATGCCCTCCAGCCACAACGGCACTCACAGAGCTTCTGGGGATGGCTCTTACCTGGGACTGCTCCGTATGGAAACATAATCCATAGCTTGGCTCCCACAAATATGCTCATCCCACGTGCTACACATGGAAGGAGAAATCAGCTTGTATTTCATTAAACAGTTTGGCTCAGGTCTTGTGAGCAAATATGAGAATCTGCGCTTGGTACAGAGTCTTAAATGCATTGTTAACAAATAGGATGGCCAAAGGAAATCAGTCAATCAAGCATTCCCACTGCCAAATGTTTACAAATTAGCAAAGTAGCAATCCCCTTGTTAAAAATCTCTGCTCTACAATTTACTAAAATTCAGAATTCCATGGTGGGGACCCAGGGAGCTGGGGGTGAGGGAGTGGGCTGGTCTGAGCCATCTGCGATCCACTCCTGCTTCTGCCAGGGCGAGGCTGGGTTCCCCCTGCCCCAGTCAGCAAGAGGCTCACCTGCAGGTCCAGGGCTGTCAGCTTGCCCTTGTCACCCACGTTCCGTGCATACTCCTCGATGGTCCAAGAAGGTTGGCCCCGCTTCACCTCGGCCAGCTCGGTCAGCCGCATGTCTGTGTACAGGGGGTTGTTCTTCATGTGGGCCTTGAGGGAGGTGGGATAAGGGTGAGGGCTGAACACCTGCTCCACCAGGAAGCCGTCTTTGGGCTGCTTGGGCAGCCGGTGCTGCGAGGGGATGTCGTACTGCCTGTCTGCCTGCAGAGGGGCACAGAGAAGTCCAGAAAAGCAGCACAGATGCCATCGGATTTCACAGTGCAACTGGGCAGCCACGAGCTTTACATCACTAAGCTCTGTAGACAGCCAGGTACCAAATGCAGTTGTTTACAAACAAATAGAAAGTAAATCAGTACCGGGGGAAATTCTCCAAGAAAAGCCTATGATGATAATAGCACGAATATGAGCTACCATTTCTGTGCCAGGAAGAGATTATTTTCTCTAATCCTCACATCATCACTAATATTATGAACCCTCATTGTGCTGTAAGGAAATAGAGCCCAGAAAGACTCAATAACCTACCCCAGGGTGCACAGCTGCCCCTCTATGTGACTACTTAAGACTGCGTGCAGACCCCTCGGCCAGCACTGTTCCACTGACCTGTAACCACCTGTTCGCCCGCCTGTCTCCTCTCCTGGACCGTGAGCTCCTTGAGGGCAGGGGACTGTGATGTACATTTTTAAGCCCCCACTCCAGCAAAATCTACCACCAAGTAGAAGGACAGATACCATGACATGAAGTTGTGCATATGAAATAGCACAAAGAGCTGTGCATGTGAGCAACAGAAAGAAGAAAAAGAAAAACAGGAATGTGAGCAGAGGTGAGTGTTGATGAGTAAGGGAAGGAGAAGGAGGTGGGGTGTCACAAGAGGGAGAGTTTACGTAGGAGCGTGTGATAAGCAAGAGAGATGTGAGTGTGTGTGTATCCTACACATGGACCAGACCAGAAGCACACGTCCATCTCTCAGCAAACCTCTTACACAAACACAGCATGATATTTAGGGCTTCCAAACCATCCAGACTGCTGACACAGATACAGGGGAAGCAGGATAAACTTCGCCAAACCCAAACAAGGAAATGAGGTTGCCTCTTACTTTTTAACTCATCAAAGCCAAGTATCTTCTAAGAGGCTTCACTGATTTTATTTATTCTGCTCGTCATGGCTACTCAACACTCATAGAACTCCCACTGCATGCAGGGCCCACACTGAGCAGGTGGAGTGGGCAGATGGCAATGACAATAATGACAACGGCAGCTACTGCAGTCATAATTATCAATACTTGAGGGCTGACTGTGTGTCCACCGCTATGCTCATTGCCACATGGATCATCTCATTTCATCTTTTCAAGAACATTCCACGGTTGTAACTACTATTCTCCCCACTATGGATCTGGAACTCGGATTAGAGAGGTTAAGAGATTGACCCAATGTTGCAAAGGCAGTAAGTGGTAGAGCCAGGATTTGAACCTGTTCTCACCTGTAAGACGGAAAATTTCACTGCAGCTCATGCCTGCCTCCCTGCTGCTTCCACTGCATTCTAACTTGGCAGTCAGTATATACAAATATGCATTTTTAAAATAAAAGTTTGTATCTACTATGTCTGAACAAAGAGGATGAATGGCTGTAAATCAGAAATCAGCAATAATCCTTGGGAAAGCTTTCAGAAGTTTACGAATTGAGGGGGGAACACAGGATCTAGATCAGCACAGAGTAGGTGGACAAGACATTCTTGATGGAGGAATCGTGTGAAGAAAGGTTTGACAGTGGAATGGGGGCTGGCGATAATGGATGCTCAATTAGTATTAACTGAATGCGTGACCGAAGGAATCAGCATGGCATTTTTGAGGAAAACCAGGTAGACTCGTCAAGGTAGAGAGGGACCAGTCTGGGTGAATTAGAGCCTTCTTATTGGGGAGAAGTACGTGAAATTCCAAGACTTAAAGGCTTGGCTAAGAAGGTTGAAATTTTTCACTGAGCAAAGAGGAGCTAAAGAAGAGTTGGGAATAGGAGCCACCGCACATTCACCAAGTACAGTTTAGGAAGGTGAACATAGCAGCAGTCTATGAGAAAAGATAGACGGTGAGGAAGATAAGTAAAGGAGACCAGTTATGAATGTGCACAAAAAGCCCAGGTGGGATGTGGTAAGCGCCTGGACTGAGGGGAGGGAGGATGGATTTAAATGGAAATGGAGGCAGAGATGCAAGAAACATCACTCAAGATAAATTCACAGGGTCTAGTGGCTAACCTGGATATGAGAGAGCCAACGAGGGAAGTCAAAGATCAGCGAGACCTCTTTAGTTTGGGGAATTGCTAGAAAGGTGACCCCAGAACGGAGACAGTGAGAGGGAACACTGGCTTTGAAGGGACAGAAAAGTCTAGTAGGTACCTGCAGATTTTGACACAAGGGTAGACATCCAAGGGAATTGGCCTTGAACAATTAGAGATATGGGACTGAAGCTCAGAAGGTGGGCCAGGGCTGGTCACCACCATGGGAAGTGCCAGCCCAGAGGGGATGAGAGCCACAAACCAGGAGGGAGAAATGAGGTCACAGAGGGTGACAAAATGAAGAAGACAGCTCATCCCAAATATTAGCAACTTTGTACTATGCATTTCAAGCAGATCTTTCTCAAGCTTTCGGCTACTTCTGTGATTGCATGAGGCTTTGACATTTTACAGATTGGAAGCACGGCCAGTTCAGTTTAACTTGATATTTCTATAGAGGTGTCTAACCATTCAAGTCCTCTAAATGCCCACTTCTCAATGCTATCTAGGACCCAGGCCTCCAGAAAGCTGGCAGACCCTGGCAGAGAATGACAGTGGACCCAGAGGAGAGGGCCAACAGCTGGGCATCTTGTCAGAGCAGTGGGATGCTTTACATTCCAGTTTCTCCCCACCACCATATGTTGTCAGTGGCTACAGAAGATCAGAGCAGTGGCCAGCACAGATACAGGAGGTTTCTTTGGGATCAGAAAAAAATCACTTCTTTTATTTACTCTTTACCCCCACTTTGACCCTGAAAACTTCCTTAGAGCCCAGTTTTCCAAGTTTTGCTTTCTTGGCACGATCTGAGGAACCCAGCCTCCTGCTCTGGCTTTGAGTGTCTGCAGCCTACAGCATCTTCGCTCTTTCTCTCTGATGGCTGGATCCTCTAAGATCTCAGGAGGCCCCACGGTCTGTCCACTGACCTTTAGAATCAGGGAAGGGAACTGAAACAAGCAACAAACTGAAATTACACCACTTTAACCAGAAAGAGTTCATGTAACCCATGAAGAAGAGCTGCCACAAGTTCCACTGAAACAAATCATCCTTGCTGCAGAGGATGAGAAAAAGAACTAATGTGAGTGTACGTTTGTGCACTCACTCCAGACCTGACTGGGAGATGTCAGCTATCATGATGCAGAAACACTCAAGCTCATGCAAAAAGAACAGAACATACAATTGCATAGGGAAAGAAATCTAAAAAGCAAAGGAAGACACTATATTAAGAGTTGCTATAAGAAGACACTATATTAAGAGTTGCTATGCTTGGGTGGTGGACCAATGAATAATTTCCTGATCTATCTTCTTTTCTTACTAATCATCTATTGATCTTACAATGAAAAAAGTCCAACTTTTAAAATAGAACACGACTTGTGCAACGAAGTACATGAAAGGGACATATGAGTTAGCCCGCTTTTAAGTCATTTCCCTCATTTTCTTTGCCTGCATCCTGTTGTTTCAGAAAGGACAGGAAGATATCCATGGTGGTGCTCACCTGCTCTGATACATTCCCCATTCCATGAAAATCAGGTCTCCCACCACCTGTCCAATATCTGAACTGTACTCTCTCCTGTTGGCAACATGGCGGTGTGTGCTGCTCCAGCTGACTGACAACTTGGTGTAACAAACAACCTGCTTATGCTGCCCTCTCCATTTGGAGAGGAAAGGCCTGCCAGATCTGGAAGGATAACTAGCACATGGAAGGAAGGCCTCTATCTTGTTTAATGTAACATTCAAGGCTTGGAAATACACCAGGGCCATGATAAAGCTTGTGCCCAATTATGTGAGCTTAAACGTCAGTTACCTCTTTCGAGTTTCGATGCCAGTCCTTATTCTCTCCAAGGCCTCTGTCTTTTATCTCTTCCTCATTGAGGCCCATGCGGTTGGTGTAAGTGATGGTGCGCCAGTCCCTGGGCGAGTTGGAGATGCTGGCGATTTTGGACTCTGTGGCACTGTTCTCCTCTGTCAGGGACCTAGAGGATGGCCTGGTGAAGAGGCTTTTTTTTAAGGCCTTTACATGAAGGCTTTCGCTGTTGCTTCCACTGGCATCAGAACAGCACCAGTCGGCAGTATTCTCCAGTTTGGGTCCATGGGAGCCATTCTGCGTATGGAACATACGGGAAGAGGCACTCTCATCGGACGGAGCCTCGCTCGTCAAGGAATTCAGATCTATCTGCACACTCACCTTCTCGGGCTGCTGTATTTTCTGATCCAATTTATTTAATTTTCCCAGGACCTGGGAGATTTCCTCACGAACACCTGACAGTGATTCCAGCTTCCGTTCAATTTCACCAATCCTGAGCACCAGTTTGCACACACTGGTCTTCAACTCCTCTTCAGAGTGGTGGCTGTTTTCAGGCCGGTTGCCCTTTTCTCCTTTGCTGCTGGTGAGCCCGTTGGCAATTTTGGTTAGGTTATGCTCCGGTGAACTGTCACAGTCTGACTTGTGCAGCTGAGACAAAGACCCTGTGCTGTTGTAGCAAGATGACTGCATCACTCCCGTCGAGCCACTGATACTCATGTCATCAAGAAAACGGAAAATGTCACTTATGTCATCGCTGACAATTTCTGAGTCATCATCTGATTGCTTCATGGCATGCCTATCACTGTACTTGCCCTGCCCCAAGGTGCACAAGTCTTTGCATTTCTTGGGCTCCAGCACATGCTGCTCAGTCTGGGTGCCCACACTACTGGTATCTGAGCTGAGCTGCCCGCTGGTGCAGCTAATGCTCTTGTCTTTAAACTTTTTGACTGGTTCGTGCTTCTCCAGGTCAACGGGGGATGAAAGCTCTTTAGATTTGAGCCCGTTTGGTTTTGCTGTATAGCCAACAGGGAGAATCAGCTGTTGATCCTTTGGCGTGAGGTAAGCCGGGCGCCTGTCTGGGGCTGGGAAATTGGGGGTCTGGCTGCTGGAATTTGGATAGTGTAGTTTCTCCTCAGAGGGATTTCTATTGAAAAAGGACCGTTCAAAGTCAGGGACTTCTTCGGTGTTTAGGCTCCAGCTTTTGGCTGGCCAGGGGGTCTGCTTGCCCGGCCTCCCTGGATAGCGCCTGGCTTCCTGGGTCCCCATCACTGGAGTGGGTCCAAAATACGTAGAGGCTTGAAGGTCATCTAAGCTTTCATGTTTTGCCCGCCTTTTGTCAGCAACAGGGGAATACGCAGGATTCAGGTAGTGGCTGTTGTAGGGCATTTCAAAGCTGTGATTAAAGAAAGCTGTCTTGTGGGGTTCCTTTCGACTCTGTGGTTCCCCATGTTCACCATCTGCCTTGTTAGCGGGGCCAACCAAACTGGGGGCCACAGTCATCAGATTGTGAAAATCCTCTTTGAAGATGTTCCTCTTCTGGACACAGGACTGGACCACAAATGGCTCCTCATTAGAAATGAAAGTCTCCTTGATGCCCTGGCTGATGGGCAGGGAGTCCTGATCGGAGATGGACTCATTCTCAATGTTCGTGGGGAAGTAGGTTCGCTGCATCTCACAGGGCTGAGGGCTGGCCACCGAGTACGGGGCCAGGGCCTGCAGCCTGTCCAGGGACGCAGCCCGATTTTTCAGCTCTTTGCTGACACCTAACAAGAAGTTGGGTTCGGAGGCAGGTACAAACTGTGGGCAGTCCTTGCAGTCCATCTTCTGGCACTTGGACGACTGTCTGGTGGGGTAGCCCCGGCTGAAGGGCCTCTCGCTCAGCTCACAGTTCAGGGCCTCACACTGGGCCGCGGTGCAGATCTCTGTGTCGGACCTGCACGATTCAAAGGACACCTCCTTCCTGCGCACCTTCTGCTGGCCCATGGGCAGCTTCTCCTTGGCGGCGCCCCCATTCATTTGAATCAGGTTGAATATTGTCACAATATCTGCTGCCACCATGATTTTCTTTGATTGCTGGTTATTCATGGTGCATTTCATCTTGTCCTTGAATAATGTGGCTGGAAAACTGGGATCAAGACAAGCCGTGTAGAAGAGCACGCTTCTCAGTTTGGCAAGCTGGGACAAATCAAAGCGGGCACACAGTGATTTGCACAGGTCCTGGTAGGAAACGGTATTTTGCTTGCTGTCCAGTTCCTCTAAGATCTTCACCAAGAAAAGGGAAGTTTCCTGACTGGCCTCCATGATTTAGAATTTCAAAGGCTCGCTGACTACACTGAAACTTTGAGTCAGTTCTACAGGGACAATATTGGGAAAAAAAGGGAAGAAAGAGGATTATAAACACCAGAGGAGTTTTAAGTCAAACTTGTTATGAACCACATAGAGAAACACAAGAAAAGACTTTCTAATGATAAAAAATGCATTAAGAGCTTTAAAAAAGATTTATAACATATGACTTTGTAATTCCCTTCCCAGGAATCTACCTTAAAGAAATGATCAGTGATGATGATTTATACATAAAGATGTTCACTATGATGGTACCGATAATAGTGAAAAAAAATAAAACATCTTAAATATCCTAATAATAGGGGAATGCATAAATAAAACACGTTATGATATATAATGACTTTCTACAAACATTAAAATCACATTAATGTACATCCTTATAATGGAATACTACTCATCAATAAAAAAGGAAGAAACTACTAGTACATACAACAACATGCAAGAGTCTCAGAGGTGTTGTGCTTGAGTGAAAGAAACCAGAGTCAAAAGGCTACATACTATACAATTCCATTTTAATGACATTCAGGAAACATCCATGGTTGCCAGGGGCTGGATGTGAGGTGAGGGGTTGGCTACAAAGGGGCACAGAGAAATTTTCTGGGATGATGGAACTGTATCACATCTTGATTGGGGTGCTAGTTGCATGACTGTATGCATTTGTCAAAACTCATGGAATTGTGTGCTAAAATCTGTGCATTTTACTATATGTAAGTTTCATCTTTAAAATTACATAGTGAAGACTTTTCTGACAAAAGAAAACTATGATACAATATTGAGTGAAAAATATGAAAATAGATCTGTATATGGAGTAAGATCTTAACTACATAAAATTATATGTTCTTGGAAATGAAAATGAAAGAAAAAAGTACACACTAAAACGTTAATGGTGGTTATGTTTGGATTGTAAATATGGATTTTTTTCCTGAATTAGTAATCTTTGTCCCTTAATATTTTATCAGGCAAATTTTCAAGCATATTGCAAAGTTGAAAGAATTTTATAGTGAACACTCATATACGCACCATCTGGATTCTACCATCAACATTTTTCTATATTTGCTTTATCACATATGTATCCACCTATCCTTCATCAAGCATCTCATTTTTTAAATGCACTTCAAAGTAAATTGCAAACATCTGTACACTTCCCCTTAAATATTTCATCACGCATATCATTCACCCAAGCTCTATAATTGTTTACAGTTTTTCTTTTAACATAAGATTTACATATAATGAAGTGCGCAAATCTTAAGTGTGCGTTTGCTGAAGTTTTAACAAATGTGTACGTCTGTGTAGTAACCAAACTCCTTTAAAGATCTAGAATATTCCCATTTTCCAGAAAGTTCTGTCATGCCCTTTCCCATTAAATCACTGTTCTTATTTTTTATAAAAAGGTAATTTTTATTTTTTTCTTTATAATTTCCCATCTTTTTCTAAAATGCCGACAATGAGCACGTGCTATTTTGTAATCACCAAACAATAATAAATCTTACTTTGAAATGGAAAGAAAAAGCTACATTAAAGAATCTTGAATGGAAAATCTAAAAACACCAAACGAAAAGTTCAACAAAATTTCATAAGAGAAAGTAAAACTCAGCGATCAGCATGGACCCAGGTTCTGAGATTTACAAGGAAACATCAAACTACACAAAGCGTTAGCTTCCCCAGTCACACCCTGCTCAGAAAAGGCATTTTTATGGTTGACTTATTGATTTTAAAGTTGACTCAGTCCACACAGTTCCAGCCCATTTTCTAGGGGAACAATGTCTTTTCTTTGGGTTAAATTTCAGCTGCTCTCAGCAATGGGCTCTCTCTCCATCCTGAGGGCAGTGCTCCTTCTATACACTTTAGCGTGCTCTCTCCCTGTCTGCAGAGACATGCAGAGACCGATGGTTTGGATTTCTTGTATGGAAAAACGCAATGAGGCCCTGAGAGGTTTTGTTCCTGCTTAGAACAAGTCACTGGGAAAAGCACCTCTCCCCACACAGCACTCCCTGCCCTGCCCCAGCCATCAAATTCATCTGATAAAAGCATCTTGTGTCAAGATGTTCTGGTTTGTTAAAGGTACAGACAACCTTTCATGCTTGAGCTCCAAGTAAATAAATGGGCGTAGAAATCAGAGCGGAGGACAAATGAATGCAGTTGAGGGAAGAGCAATGCAACTCATGCACATGATATTTTACAGTTTTGGTGACACAGAGCACCTTCATAGATACTCTCTTCTTGAATTCTTGTAACACCTTATGAAGCCTCTTTCACTTTAAAGATTTTATTTTTTCTTTTTCTCCCCAAAGCTTCCCAGTACATAGTTGCATATTTTAGTTGTGGGTCCTTCTAGTTGTGGCATGTGGGATGCCGCCTCAGCGGAGCCTGATGAGCACTGCCATGTCCGCGCCCAGGATCCGAACCGGTGAAACCCCGGGGCCACAGAAGTGGAGCGCATGAACTTAACCCCTCGGCCACGGGGCCGGCCCCTCTTTCACTTTTATCGTTACTCTCTGACAGATGAGGAAACAGGCTTGGAGAGCTTAAGGAAGCAACTGGGAGCAATGAGAACGAGAGCCAGGACTTCCAGGCGCCCCCCCCATGCTGTGCCCTCTGTGCCTCCCAGGAAAACCCAAGACTGCTTCCTCATGAGGCTTTCTTGATTTCTATGCTACTTTGCATGGCTAAAGAATTATTAATCCCAGGTCAAAAAAGGTACTTGGAAAACCAAGGCCCAGTGTCTCCTAAAGCAAATAAAAGAAACACAAGTGATGTGCTAAACCTGAGTCATTTTTATTAAAACTGAAATTTGGGAGCTTATGAATGGGGTAGGCACGTGCCCCCCAGGCAAACAGATGCACGGATATGTGCGGGGCATGTGTGCATACGACAATTAATCGTCATAGAGAAACTCCATACAGATTCCTACAATACGCCAGTGGGAACCAGAGAGGAATAAGGACAAAAGGGAGGCTCAATGGAAAAGTTGATTTCTAGGCTCTGTACAGTGGAATAGGATCCAGCCTGCAGCGTGCGGCCCCTGGCCGCTACCTCCCGGGACCACACAACAACTCCGTGGTGTGGGAAGAGCACTCCAACCTTACAAATGAAGAAACTGAGGAACTGAGAGAGGAAGGAACTGTCTAATCCAGAGAGGTGACCGGAGCTGCCTCTGGGTTAGGGGCCCAAGTGGACCATAACCAAGGCTAATGATGCTGTTAAAGGAGCACCAGGCTAATCTCATGCCAGGAGGAGGAAAAGCCTCCAGCGCCAAGTGATAGAAGTGAATTGGGGGGTGGGGACAAGCAAGGGGGCCCACTACAGCCTGACCACCCTCTCTGCACCTGTACTTTCCAGGAAATGTCTACAACAGCCTGGAGAGGGAGGCACCACCACTCTGCAATCTGTTCAGGAGAAATGAAGGAAATGAGGCTACAGAAATTACACTGAGCAAGATGCGTGATCCGAAGCCAAATCTGGTTAAATCTGAAGCCCAGGCTCTTTAGTCAGTGACAAAAGAGCAAGTGAGAAACATCAGCCTGAAAGCTCTGGGAGCTGAGGGAGACTGCCAAGGAGCATGTATGGGTGTGTACACACAGACAGACACACTCACACATACAGTCACGCGCACACATTCATAAACTCACAAGCATTACAGACACAGACACAGGGGCATACAGACATTCACACACAGACACACACACATACAGGCACACACATTCACGCACACACATTACACACATGCACACACACACACAACTCTCAGCCACACATTCACATTCCCACAATTCACACATGTATACACGCTCCCACTCCCACACTCACATACATATGCACACACAGTCTTATCCGCACCCTTTTTCTCTTTGGTCTCTCTTAGCTGTGCCCTCGGGGTTTGAATATTCTTAAGCTCCCAGCACAATCCGATGCATATTTTGGGAAAGGCCGAGACGCCAACACATGCACCCTCTCTGGAGTTTGGGAGGCCAGCCCTCTAGCACATCACCCGCTGGCAACAAGCTTCTCATGAATCACAGTAAATGCCTGGAGATGGCAAGCACCAGGCAAGGCTGCACAGCACTTTTGCTGGGCAGGCAAAGCTCTACAAGGCACTGAGAGGTACACGAGTACATGACACCCACCACCCCCAGCCTTGGGAACTATGTTCTGAAGGATGGCCACACCCCCCCACAGGCAGGGAAACCGGCAGAAGGAACCGGGAGCAGCTGAACATCTGGAAATCAGACCCCAGCAGGACCCCATCCGGCCCAACTGACCACCCAGCTCAACCTCCAAGGTCCAGGCCTCCCCTCCGCGCATCTCCTACAGACCACTCTGCATTTCCCACGGAAGGCCTGAAGCTCCTCACCGACCACTGTCCAGGAATCCTGCTTCTCTTCCAGGCCCTTCTCAGACAGCCCCCCTTCCCCCCAGTCTCTCACTGGTCCCCCTAGTTTAAATTAGTTGTTCCCTCCTCAGTGGGAGCAGCCCTCTGCCTGTACCTTGGTTATAGCATTTCCCACACAGGAAAGATTTGCCCGGAATGGTTTAAAACAAACTGAGGTCTGGTCCCTCAACCTCAGACCAATTAAACCAGAATTCCTGGGAGGGGTCCAGAACATCAGGGTTTTTTAAAGTCACCCAGGTATTTCTGAATCATGGGCCTTCAGAATGAGGGATTGAGAAGACCCATCTAGAAAATAGAGGGCTGGGTTTTGTGAGAAGTGGTGAAACCTAATGGTTGAGAGGATGAGCCATGTGGGCACACAAACCTGCGCTCACATTCCAGCCCTGCCCATCACCAGCTACGTGACTATAGCTAGTAGGTTATCTACAGCCCCCAAGCTCAGTTTCCTTATCTGTAACAGTGGTTTTAATCAGCAAGCACATGTGAAGCACTTAATGAAGTGTCTCCCAAATGACAGCCATTCAACAAACGACAGCTGTCAGTCACCGGATAGCTGTAGCAGTGGAGGTTCTAGGAGTCTCAGTTGGTTGATGCCTCACGGCGCCTCTTGTAGGTTAT